AATACAATAAAACTTGAGACAATAATTAAATATAGATATAATGGGTTGGGGTTGGGGGAATGACAGATGGTGTTTGGATCGAGTGATATTGCTTCTGTTTCTTCACATGAAGTTGCTATTAATGCAAATACAATGTGAGTGTATTATAAAATATTGAAGGCATCACAAGCTGTGTCAGGTTGGTGAGAAACATGACCCCTTAAACTCACTGCCACTCTGTTTTGTGCATGTCATTCCTCTGTTTCTGCCTGTTTTAGCTCTATCTTCCCACGCTATTATTCTCTGCAAAATCCTCAGTCTTCACTGTAAATTAATGTTATATTGTTGCTTCTTCGTACGTACGTACTCTTGTGGTTTTGCTTTGTCCCTTTGGTTTATGTTCCTTGTCAGTCCACGCCTCGTTCCAGAATTATTAAATTCTTGGTTCACTTATTATTACATGAAAATTGAAACAAACCAACTTGTAGTGATGCTTTTTGACTATATATTGTTTAGCTAGGGGAGTTCAAATTGAGAGTGTAATTATGAGCTTTGAAACGGGCAAGAAGTGCAAATATGGGAACTGGTAATGATATACTCCTCCGGTTCTTAATATAGGACTCAATTTTTGAGTTGGTTTTGATCCTAAATATAAGACCCATTTCTTATATTTTTTAATTTTCTCTAAATTACCCCTATGGATACTCCCCCAACCACAATCAAGTAGAAGAGGGGGAGGGGGTATTAAGAAAGATGATTATGGTGTTTTAGGAAAAATGTGTCACTTTTCTTATAATTAACTAATTTACCTAACTTCCTTAATCTAATCAAATTAATTAAATGGATCTTATATTAAGGACCGGAAGAATATTTAATTCCAATGTTGCATGAAGTTAAAAGGTTAGGGGGTGGTTAAGTGGTTTCTTTCTCTTTTAACCAAGTCAATCACTGAACCCATGTGCCAAGCTGGTGGAAAAGGCTAAGCTTTTCCTTTTAAAAAAAGCCTTTTCATTTCTTATCGTTGAGAGGCTGCTTTTCACTTTTCTCTTTTCAGTTTGTCTTGGTATCTCTTAACAAACCCTGCCACCCAAATATGGATTACCAGATTCATTGTTAGCCATTAGGTGTACTTTTATTTCTATATAATATAAGCCATTCTTAGGGGGGGAAATTAACCATTTATTTCTTATAATTTTGTCTTAATTATAACTTAATCCCTAAATTTTAACTTAGTGCCATTTCAAATTCTATACTTTTGACCTGGTTAAAACTCAATCTTTATATATAATTTGGCCATTTAAAATATTAACCCAAAGTTAGAGAAAAAACAATTATAGTCCCTTATCATTTTATTTTTTTAATGTGCTAATCAACGTTTTAAATAGTTAAAATTACAATGAGTTACACCGAATTAAAAATTAGGAATTGAGTTACAACGAACTAAAATTTTATTAATTTCGCATTTTAAATATTATATATCTATTGACTCTCAATCGCTAACAATGTTATCAATCGTAGTAAAATTCTCTGTATATATATGCACCTATAATAAAACCTCTAGCAATTAAGTCTTATTTATGGTTAAGAAGAAGTCATAATATTTACTAGTTTTAGATTATAGAATTTGTAAATGTACAAAACTTACGTGGGCTTAAAAACCGGAATAAATGTCCCTTCGGGGACATCTGATAAAATTAGAACGATACAGAAAAGATTAGCATGGTCTCTACGCAAGAATAACATCACAAATCGAGAAAACCCGAATAAATGATAGAGTTGGAAGAAGTAAAGTTGAGATTACATTCCATGTTTCTTAATAAACAAGGAAACAGTAGTGATTATTTTATTATGAATAACTTTAATATTTAACTGGTATATATTTATTATGAATAATTTTTCTTGGTTTTCAATAAAAATTATTGTTCAAATTAATTAAATCATAAGGATTTCATTAAAATGATTTTTTTTTGCCTTACAAAGAAAAATATCAAAATAAAGCCAAGTAGAATATTCTTCAAGTAGATCTAGGAGTTAGGGTAAAAAATAGGTTTATTCTTGTATATTTAAGTTATTTTTTCAAATAAATTTTAATTGAATAAATTTAATCTAATTTAAAAAAAATTAAATATCTACATTTAAATAAATGCATAATTTTTGTCTCTTTATTAGAGGGGAAACGGAAAAAAAATACATAAATCATTATTAAATGAAAAATTCCACAAATTGAGGAATGAAATAGAATGATTTTGTTTTTGAAGGTTACAAGACTACACTCGAAGACCATTAGCAATGGCTTTGTTGGTTTCTAAATCAGTAGTTTCATAAACAGGAAGCTCTTCTCGGTACCTTGCAGTTCCTATAAGATGATCCAACTCAAACAAATCTGAACTCGAACAGCTCAAAGCATCGTCATCTTCATGAACCTCATGTTCATTATTACGACCATAAAACCCTCTGAAATTTAACTCGCCATTTGCTTGTTTTGCCTCTGCTCTGTTTTCCTTAGCCACTACAGAGCAGCTCTTCAACTTCTTCATTGAAGGGTTTCTTGAGAATTTCCGAACACTGTTTGGATCACTGTGGTACGGTTGGGAGTTTTCGTTCTCGCCTAGGGTCACACTAACTGGGTAAAATCTCACGCATCTTTTGACGCTGCCATTGTTGGGCTTCTGGCATTTAGGAGTTTTCCTCATGCACGAGAAGGAAGAAGCAGAGGAAGTGGATAAGCATGGTGATTTTGATTTTCTCTCAAGGCCAACATCTTCTACAGCTCCAACATAACACATCTTGGCCTTCTTCACATTCCCAGAATTGAAGATGGAGCTCAGGAAGCTAGCTATTCGACTTCCAGGTGAAATTGGCTGCTTCACCTTCTTTGGCTTCTCATGCTTCTGGGTCCTCTCGGATCTGAGCTTTGGCCTTAGTTTTCTGAAGCTGGCTTCTGTTTCTGAGAATGAAAATGCTGCACCACGAGAGCTACATTCCGATGAGCTTGAAGAAGAATTAAACAACATAGAACTCTGTTTCTCCATCCAATCCTCCATCATAACGGCTCGACGAAGATTCATCCTCACTTTCCCTCCTTTCTCCATATACACACTCTGTTTATAGGTGAAATTGCTCTTTTTCGAGACCCCCAGTTCAAGATCCTCACCAAGACTGGATTTTGACTCGTCGATCGAACGGTAAATTGCGTCAAGGAGGCTAGAGGAGAAAGACGGGGTTCTTCTTCTCTGTGGGAAAGATTCTGGGTCTCGCATGGATCTCTCAGTGCACATGTTTTTTCAAGCACAATTGAACAAAGAAGAAGAAGACAGAATTTATAAACACGAAGGAGAGAAGAAGGCAGAGAAGTTTAGTTTAAGAGAGGAAACGAGCTGTAATGTTGGAGACAGACAGTGTCAAAAGCTGCAACGGGAAATTAATTAATAAACAGAAGGCAAGAGGGTCATGTGAGAAAACAGAGAAAGAAAGAAAGAGAGAAAGCGTGTGAGATTTAGAAGAAGATGTGTGTGATACAGAGATCACGTTAAGGTGTTTTGTAAATGTAGAGCTTTAGGTTAACAAGGAAGAGAAGAAATATAAGACAAAGAGAGACAAAGAGAAATTGTTTAGAAAAAAAGGGTTTGAGAGGCAATGATGAAGAGGGTGATATGACAGTGTTGGATTTGAAGCGATGGAGGGAATTTTCTTTCGGAGGAAAAAAGGGGACAGGGGAAAGTGACTTCCGCGCGTGCGGCTTATCTTTTCAGAACTCACCCACCTTCATCGATGCTGGTAGCTGCTGGTGGCGTTTCAGCTTTATCATATATCAATGGCGTTTCTGAGTGAACACAGTTATTAAATTCTGTTTTTATGTCTACAGTAATTTAACAAGATTTAACAAATACCTTGTCACGTGGTTTCGTTTCTTCTGTCCGAATCATGTTCCTTTTGCCCTTCTATAGGGATGATTGGTTTAGCAAAGTTAGTTTTGGATAAAAGATGATAATTTTTTTTCACCGATGAAATAATAATTTTTTGTATTGTGGATCATATTATTAGCATTATTTTTTTGGAATTATTTTGAGAAAACAATCTTTTTATGTTTGATTCATCATGGATATAAATAAAAAGCGAGTGCATGAAAAATAGAGTAATTTTCATTTCAATATTTACTGTATTTTTATTTACCCAAAATACAGAAGTGCCATTTCTCATCACATTCACATTTTTCTCTTACTAGAATGAAAGAACTTAACGACAGGTATCCAAAAGATTCGAGATTACCAGATTAGTATTGGGCGGCTTTGCATAACACAACTGCCAGACGCCTAATTTACATGCTATTGTTTCCGAAGTTGGCTATTTTTTCCTATTTTTAAGGCCTCACTTAGAGAAAGGGGCATTTTGGGCCTCTCCTAGGCCCAATTACAAAGACAAGCATTGTTTGGGCTGACTACAGAGCCCAATATTAACTAATCCAGTTCTTGCCTCCTTTTCTGACTCAAAGGTTGCCCCTGGGAATAATAAGATTATAAGAATAAACGTCATTCTCAACGGGAAAGTTTAGACACGAATAGAGAAGTGGAAACAAAAAGCAATTGATAGATTCATTCATTCTTGTACCCAATATCTGATTTACTATAGAAATTTACACCCACCCGACTTTCATGTAACATAGCAATTGGCACCCTTATCCACCATTATGTGAAGGAAATAGCAAAAGGTAAATTTACCACATACATTCAAGAGAAAAATTGAACTGATCACACAAATATAGCTAGTGTGACGAGTTTATGTATGCGGCCTAAAACAGGAGAGGTGCCAAGAACACCTCTTGTGATATCTAATTTACCTATAATGGGATTTCTCTAGTATGGTAAGACAAGGTATGAAACAATTTCATAAGCAACACCACCTCCAGGCTCTGTGAAGTATTATTCCTCAATCTCACAAGTATTGTTCATGTATCCTGGCTCGATTCTCTTCCCACCATAATCTAGCATGCACCTCCCCAAATCTTTCTCGGCTGCACCACAAATGAGAAAATGCACGGAAATCAATTCTATATGGTTCTACATCAAAATGATTGAAATAAAATTTTCTAGTTACCAAGTGACGACAATCTGAAGCCTCAAACCCATAAAAGGATTTGAGAACACTTATGTCACCGGCTTTACAAGGCACATGCTCAAGTATAAAGGAGGATCCGCATTTTCAAAGAAATTTTAGTAGAGTTTAGTTTGCCAGAAAAGTTACCTAGCATCTGCATTATAACCGTTTTACGTATAATAAAGACCCGATATTGTATTTAAGTTCATCAACCAAACCAGTCAGAATTTTATGAGTTCCTCTCTTTATGACATAGATCCTCCTTAGGTATCTACACAATAATTTCTTCTATTTCTGATTCCTATTTTTCCCAATAGTTGGCGGCAAACATACCTGAATCTGACTCGTCTTAGCTCTCTTTTGCCGCCTGGTAATGTTCTGATGGTAAGATAAACCCCAGGTTCATCCTGTTCGACCCATTCAGTGTCTTGATCACTAGCATTGCTGATTGATATATCCCCTGAAGGATCAGCCTCCCTGGATGAGCTACTTCTGATAGAGGCGTCCATGGATGATGCTTCTGTCTTGGTCGTACTTATGGTGGAGACTTTAGGTGTTGAGTTAAGGCCACCCGATTCATGATGATGGCGAGATTGCATTGAAAGATGGTCAAAAGAATCCGATGACGAGTATCCCGTTCCCAACGCCGTTGGGTGATTTAGATTACGAGGTAATCGTTCTTTGGTTAATGGGGGTGTCACAGGGATATCTTCTGCTGATTCAAGCTTTGAGAGCTGTCACAACCACAAACCCATTAAATAAACAAAATGAAAACAACTTCTTTCAGCTGTCAATGCTTTCTTTGCCCGTGAAAAATAGAATAAAATGAATTGAAAACATTACAAAAATGCTTTGACCTCTTTAAGAAGGGAAACTTTTAGTAATATGAAAATGGCATAACTAGAAGGGGGGGGGGGGAAAAGATTGCACATAAACATTTGCTAGAGTCGCCGTTGCTCCTCTGTAAGTGCACAACTACCAAATGGAAGAAATATTACTGAGCGATACATGCGCCACACGTCTGTAACCATTTGCTCCAAGCAAATTTAGCTAGAAATTACTGAGTAGTATGATCACATGTCTAAGATATACATAAATCCAGAGTTTACCTCATCTTCAGATCTTGGTGGTGTTGGAAGAGGGAAGGCTTGGCGATTAAGCTTCTGAATGTTGTAAAGTTCCTTGACCCTTTCATAGTTCTCTGCCCACCATTTTTGCGCCTGCCATTTATTATACATTTCCCGACTGTACATAGAAAATAAGCCAAAACTCAATTCACTGCCAATGACTCTTAAGTCCTTAATCCTAATGACATTTTATAATTTATAACTGAAGTACTTGAGCATAGCACAAAGCATCTGCATTTTATGATTACTTCCCCTACCTCACCCTTATCTCTAATTCTTTCATTTAAGAAAATAATTAAACTTTCATTTCTGGTGCACTGCTGCACGCTACTAAGGCATTTGCTAAGGGCATGTTTAGATTACCCTTTTTAACGGCAAAAGTGTCTTGGAAATGATGAAATTGAGGTTGCAAACTGAGTTAGACAAAAAATTTTGTTTGGCTGAACTAACTTTTCCAACCAACTTCTGGCCTCCAACCTCAGTTGGACACAACGGAAGAAAATTTGACTTTTCAAACTGCAGTTTTAAACGATAATCATTAAAAATGAGCATCTTAGATTTACCCTCACATTGTCCCCTCTACCTCATCTCTTTTGTTAGCATAATAAGCTTTTATTCAGACCAAATAAATTTTAATTTATATTTATGTTTGTCCATTATATATATTTAATTAATTATCTACAATGTGTTTTCAAATTTTTCTCCATAGCAAATATTTTATTTTATAATTTCACAAATAAACTATTTATATTTTATCATAATAATTTTATGTATTTTTTAAAACTATTATCACATTAAAAATATAAAATTTCAAACACTACTATTTAATAAAGTTCATGCCATTTTCAGTCATTTTACAACTAAATTAACTTTTTTATTAATCATCCAAATAACTTTTAACTTTTTCAACTGATTTTTTAAAAGTATTTATCTAAACATACCATAATTGACTTTTACTCTAACTTCAGTTACAAAAGTCAATTAAGCTAGAAGTCAGTTTTGTCCAACACCAATCCAAACATTCTCTAAGACTGTTTTGGTTTTAGTTAGTCGAGCCTAATAAAAACTGAAAATGATCAATAACTTTGTTTTTTATTATGTCTCTTAAGAATTAAACACTAGGACACAGCACGGAAACCCCAACACAGGTGGACCCTAAAACAATGTTCACGGCTACACGCAATTGGATGCCAAAACTCTCCAAGATACTGGCCCAAAATTTAACCCAACCTAATCGAGTTCGTTGTTAGGCCCGACTAAATCAAGTTTTTTTTTTAATAGGCACAGATATACTTCTATTAAAAGCAAATACTGCTGGACACCAAATGTGATACTTTTTCCAATAGGAATTCAGATCTTGATTTGTGACGTTGTGTCAAACTAGTCTCCTTCACTAGACTCGGCCCTCGTTAGTTTCCAACTGAATCAAGTTGGCCGCCTTACCAACATTTTTGTGTTGCCCGTGTTGCTTGAGCGGCTCTTGTGATGAATATGGATCCTCTGAAGCTGAGATCCATGGATTTGCTGAAATTTACTTATTATGGAATGTTTTTAACATTTTAAGGAAAATGAAAAAAAAAATCTAAAACAACAAACTTAAAAGAAATTTATGGGTCTTCAATCACAGGATTTATATTGTCTTGTGATAGCTCCAAAGTTTCAATTATGACTATAATGTTATTTTTTTGCTTCATATTAACTGTATTATTATGTGTGTTATGCTTGACACACTTTTAAGAAGTTCTTAACGCTGTTTTCAATAATGGCGAGCCACTCAAGTGGATACTTTTTGACAAAGTATACTCAAATGAATAATTGCAGAACTGGGTCAGGCGGTGCATGGAATAAAGCAGTTCTGAGGCCAACATTTGACCTTGGCTGGGGGGTTTGTCTAAGCAATCAAAACATGGTGGGTCCAAAATTAATTAATATTAACCACACCACTAAACTCACCTAAACATAAAATGATTTCGATGACGAACAGGATTTAATAATATATGGCTAAAAATCGTCAATCTCTGTTCGTATTATATGGGATTGCACCACAAGTCACCAAGTAGGACCAGCAACATATGCAGACTCTCTTTGAGCTTCAATCATACAATAAGTTAAATAAAAATATGGCAAACAACCCTCTTTTAAGTTATGCTTCTCAATCTGTGTTTGGTGCCCACCAAACAAGAGTTCACTTTTGTCATGTATACAGTTTCTGAGTGGCCGATGATGAGGGCATTCCTCAGCATAGCGCACATATAAGATGACAAATACTAAAGCTAAAGCTTTTTGTACAAACTTAATCAGCTGACTCCTGGCAGATTAAGCATATAAACAGCAGCTGGCCGCGGACAACACTTATCAAGAGTAAAATTTATTTGAAAATTTGATAATTTTATATATTCGAACTAAAAATGAAGAAAGGTAAATCAAACAAATAATAGATTTCTTTCTACATGGAAGCTTTAGAGATCTCTCAAAATTTCGTTAGCGTGAATATATATAGCTTTTGTTTATTGGTTTAGTTAATACTAAAGTTCCTGTCATGACAAGATCACAAGACAAGAATTTCCTCCCACCAGACAACAAAGACGGGTTAGAGGACCTAATAAAATCAACACTGGCCCACCGCCAATAAACAGGCCACAGTAAGCTCTCCTTTTGAACTTTCTTTTATTGCTTTATGGGAAGGGCGTGAAATTACAAGGGAATGGGGTCCCCTACTTAAGCCCTTTCACATTTATGGAATAGGATTTGGACTTTGGATGCTATGACGGAAGGGTCATGCTACTTTGTTTAAGAAAGAGAGAAAGTTTTAAAGAATTTTCACTTCATAAAGAGATGTCAATTCAATGATTCCTTGATTTATTGATACAGTGCTGATTGTTTTTATTTTGATTATCTTGCGACATTACTCCAACAAAATGGGCTGTGAATGGCCAGGCGTAAATCATTGCTTATCCTACGCCATCATAGAGGAAAATTTTTATTTTTTATAGAGCTACTTTTACATTTCCCAGTGAAAATACAATGTATATTAGTCTCGTAATAATAATTTTAATAAACAAGTATATGATTATTTTTTTAAATATATTATACATTCATCTTGTTTCAATTTAAAAAAAAAAGTCATTCATGTTATTCATTTTTTGTTACATTATGAGATTTTAAATCGGTAGCCTCTATTAGGCTCTACTCTAACTTTATCAATTGAAATATAGAAGTAGCCCAAAGTGGGGACATACTATATTTTAAAATGAAAAATTCATCAGGGCTATAATAGGACAATCAGGCATATATTAAGGTAATACTATCTTCGATCCTAATTATAAGACCCAATTGACTAATTTGAAGAGATTAAGGAAAGAAATTAAGTTAATTATTTGTAATAAATAGGTGTTGTCTTTCTCAAAATATCCTTACTAATCAACTATATTAGCTAGAACTACAATTATTAGAAGGACTACCTTGGAAAAAATACATAAATATGAGAGACAAAGTGAATTGGGGTCTTGTATCTAGGACCAAAATAAAAGTCAAATAGGGTCTTATATTAAGGACCGGAGGTAGTACTTCACATTATTAATATAAAAATTCATTTGACTTTTATTCCGGTCTTAAATATAAGATTTTAATTCATTTTGTCTCTCATATTTATTTATTTTTTAAAATAATCTTTACAATAATGATAGTTTTAGCCAAGACACTTGATTAGTAAAGATATTTTAAGAAGATGACACATATTTATTACAAATAACTAATTTAACTTATTTTTTTAATCTATTTAAATTAATCAACTAATTTTTATATTTAAAATCGGTATGAACCACTAATCCTAAATCAAGGATCACCTAAAACTTGGCTGTCCATGCACCATTAGTGATGTGAGACAAATTGACAGTTCACCGTAGGAAAAGGCACTCATAGTCATTATCATCACATCACTGTTAGTTTGGTACAGCAGGGTCCAATTCCATATGTCCACCTTGACCAAAACTGTCACGAACAGTCACCGTCCGATCAAAACTAAAACGGCACCTAAAGAAATAATACGACGCCTAGTGTCCCCCCCTTATGAGTAGGAATTGGAGGCGTACCTGAACCGGATTCGCTTCAAATCATTCCCTCCGCTCGGAAGTGATACAAAGGTGATTAATACGCCGGGCTCCACCTGCGCCACCCACTCCTTAGGTTCGTTCTCTTCGACGAACAGCACCACCGGTTCCACCCGCCGTCCACTGGCAGAGTTCGGCGTCCCCTCCCCACTCGAAATCCCCTTCAGCCTCGCTTCCATCTCCTTTCCCCATGTCCTCGTCGTTGTCGAGCTTGAGCTCGCCGTTCGTCTGTAGGACCATCGGAACCGATCCGAGTCCGCGTCTGACTCAGTACTGGTTCTCAGTCGATTCTGTGTCTGTGGTCCGGTGCAGGGGGCGCAATGCTTGTAAGCTCCGGATGCCTTCAACGCCATATCCTTGAGCTAAACGAAACATAGAGATTTCAATTTGATACTTCAATCGGACGAAACTTCTAATTGAAACCACAGAAGAAGAATTTAAGTACCTGAGAAGTGAGGGATTTGGTAGCTTGACTCTTGGCGGCGCTTGGGTTAGTAGAATCGGAATCATCGGGCTGATTCAGTGACTCATGCCCGAGTTTCTTTGGACGAGCTATGCATGTAAGCATTTCTGCTGCTTAATCAAAGTTCGTCAATCTCTGCAAAGTTAACTCGTAGAAAATAAAACTCAGATTTTATACTAGCTAATTTATACGGTTCCGCATTGCAAGAAGTACCTCCCAATCGAAATAGAGCGCACCCTGAAAGCGCAAGCCAGAACAAAAATTTGGAAGTTGAGGATAAAATTGAGGAGGATCAGGTGCTTCGATAATGAACTTGAGAAAACAGAGGATCTAGGAGTATGCGCCACGAACGTCAAACTTCAATTACGAAAGCAAAGAATCCCTGGAAAAACAGAAAACATACCGAATATAAAAAATGGAGGGAGATCGATTTTGAATGATTGGAGGAAAAGAAAAGGGAAAGGGAAAGAGATACCATCTGGTCGGGGATCATGGCGAATTCTAGTGGCAAATCTGCAAAAATGCCCAGTGATGGTTGTAGACTGTATTGTTTCATTTTCATTTCAAGAAACTGCGTACTGTATTTCTCGTGCCTTTCGGTTACCCCTTACCGGATGCTAACCGGTTATTGGACCCTCCGCGAAGCTTTGGATACTTGTTTGCCCAATGGCGAAGCAAGTAAAAGAATGACTCCGCCATTTATTGTGATTGGGCTTGGCCCATTGGGCGTAGATATTGATCCAGTTCAGGCCCAATATACCATTAATTGAAGAGGACCCAAGCTTAAACGGGTTTTAACCCCTTAACCGAGTGGAGAAGAGCGTGCTCACAATATATTAGATGATTAGTTGAAATTCAAAATGATATCGTGTGTTTGTAACTTATATGTTATAGGTAAATAATTTAAAATATTTATAGAGAAAAATTCCCTTTTTGATAAATTGAGTTTCAAGTATATCAGATAGATTTTGAGTTAATAATTCATTGATTGTATTGGAAACTTAAGAAGTAGGATGAAAACATTATCTACATTAGGGGGTGTGCATGGACCAGACTAGATCGGATTTGTTATCAACTCAAAATCTGGTTCAGTAAAGACCTCGGGCTGAAAAAGACAGCCTAAGGTCTGGTCCAGTCCAGTACCAACTCGAGGTCGGGTTGGACTGGACTTAATCCTCTAGATTGCCTAGACCAGTCCAGGACTGTCCAGGACCTAAATTTAATTTTCTTTTAAATTTTTTTTCTTTAATAGGAGGCAAGATTGTAACTTACTATATAAAATTTTACATATATTTTAATCCAAAGTTCATCAAATTTGATCATTCCCTTTCAATTTCCCAATAATGCCATGTTTTATTAATTAATCCTAATTAATATAGATCTTGTATTGTAGAAAATATATACGCATACTCTTAGGAAGTTAATAGATAAATCTTGATTATTTAAATAGACAAAAAACTTATATAGAAAAATTAAATCAAATTAAAATTATATAAATAATAATTGAAAAAAAAGGGCTAGACTGGACTGGACCAACTGGCCTGAGGGGCCAGTCCCTAATCCAGTCCAGCCCGATGAGACTAGTTCGGTCCAATCTGGTTTTAGACTAATTTTTTCTAAACCGGGTTTGCTCGGGTTGGACCGAACCATACCGGACTACTGGGTTTTTGCACAACCCTAATCTAAATGAATGGAATCACTTTTGAAAATCTCCATAAAATTACTATTCCCTTCACTTGTTATTATTACAAGGTATTTTAAACTAGCTCATATGGGTCAATGCAATTAGTCAACATTCCGGAGTCATTCTAATATTTTCAAGTATAGTAGTACTCCTCCGGTCCTAATTATAAGACCCAATTGACTTATTTGAGGAGATTAAGGAAGTAAATTAAGTTGGTTATTTATAACAAATAAGTGTTGTCATTCCTAAAATATCCTTGCTAATTAAGTATATTGGCTAAAACTATCATTATTAGAAGGATTATCTTGGAAAAAAATGCATAAATATAAGAGACAAAATGGATTGGGGTCTTATAATTAGGACCAAATAAAAAGTCAAATGGAGTCTTATAATAAGGACCGGAGGAGTATCATTCATTGCATACGGTTGACTTTTTAAACGACAAATGAACACAATTAATGGTTCAATCATGTAGATTGTTTATTTATGGAGGATATTTCAGAGATAATCATATCAATTACTTTTAATTGCATTTCATAAAATGCCTTATTAATTAAAACATAATAACTTTCAACAATATGCTTTACAATATGTCCAACATTAAGGTCATGTTTAGTATGAAGTAATGAAAATGACAGGTAAAAATTGTGATTGGGATTACGTGGTATTTTCCAATTTCATATGCGGGTTTGTCAAGTCACAAGTAACCACTCATTCTAAACACTATAACCCCAATCATCATCTCTTATTCTCAACATCGCATATCAAATGGGATCTAAATATGAGCCATGCGCTTGGAGGATAGTTTTCATAGACCTGAAGTTATCTTTTGTATTTACATTCTATTTGAACCGAAGCACCATGTCTAAATGGTGATAATGAGCCATCTGTTGTAATCAATACCTGCCGGCTGCCACTTGTACAATTAGGCATACACTTTTGGGACAGTCATTGTACTCACTAATAATTAATAAATATACAATATCCTTGGAAACTAAAGCCGATAATAATAAATGTAATTTCATTGATCGATTAATCACAGGAAACAAATCCAAAGTAGTAATAGGAGCAACTCCATTGAAACTTGAGCCGTGTGCATGGAAGCATCAGAAACAGGACTAGGTGAAGGATATGGAGAAAGTGCCCCAAATGGCATTATTGCGGGATTTAAACTTATGGATGGCCAAGGAGATGCCGCATTATAAGTCAAATTTTCTGCATAAAAATTGATATTTAAATAGCCATAATCAGAAATTCTGAAACCTCTCTTGATGATATTACACGTACACACACACATGAAGATGATACATATGTCTATATATATCATGAGTGAACTTACCGGGGCACTTGAGATAAGAAGATTTCGACACACTGCAATAATACAATCAACACACAAATTAGCTCTAATATAATATTGTTATAACATAATCTCAAATTTCATTGGGTTGTTTTCTTGGTTGAGTTGTTGGAGTGATGCAATATACTACCTCCTGTTCTAATTATAAGACTCCATTTATATTATTCCTCCGGTTCTTAATATAAGATCTAATTGTTAAATTGATTTTGGTCCTAAATATAAGATCTATTTCTCATATTTATCAATTTTTTTAAATTACTTTTACGGATATTTCTTCAACCATAATGAAGTAGAAGATGGGAGAAGGATATTAAGGAAGATGATTATAGTGTTTTAGAAAAAACATGTTATATTTTTTATAATTAACTAACTTAACTAAATTTTTTAATCTAATCAAATTAGTTAATATTAAGGACTGGATGAGTATTATTTATCAATTACACAGCATGCACTTTAATTTATATACGACTTCTGGTTCTAATTATAAAATCTCGTTTATAAACTATATTGTTACTGGTCCTTATCACAGTTCAATCCCGTTTTAAGTTTTAGTCATTCAAATTATGAGTGATCCCTATAGTTTTCATAAAAATTTTGTTCGAGTTTAGATTTAGAGATCAAGATCAAAACTCATTAAAAGAATAGAAACCATTAGTTAAACTAAAAACTCATTAAAATAATAGGAACCATTAGTTAAACTAAGATAAAAAAATAATGAAACTATAAGGACTAAAATTAATAATTTAAGATTACAGAAATCAAAACTAAAGTTTATTCAGAGACTATGAAAAATAACAATGTGTATTAGGCAGGACGGTACCTTCTGAGAATCTTGCCGCCTCTATGGCCACGATAAAGACACTGAGTGACATTGCAGCCAGGTTTGAAATAAGTGACATGTTGGTCGCCAATTACAAGATTGGATTCTTTGCACTGTAAGTTGAAGCAAGGAACTGGTAGACCAGATGGGTAACATTGCAGCCTATAGATATATACATGCCACAAAGAGAAGGCAATCATAAAACATATGTACGTCCAACTTTTAATATAAGATCTAGTTAAAACATTTAATGAGTAAAAACATGGAAACTAAAGTGGAATATATATATGTATGTATGTAATGACCTGAGATCAGTGGGGTTACAGGAGCATTTGATGCAGCGAGAGGCAGTGAGAGCGTAGGAGCCATTAGGGACGATGAGAGACTCGTTGTACCAATTCAGTGTTGCTGAAGAACATGCTGCAAATGCAAACCACGGTACAAGTCTACACCATATAATTACATATGAATCTACGTGTACTTCATCAAAACATTAATTCACTATAATAAACTCCTTTATTGTAATAGACTAGTCATATTTATATTTGTTTTTACAATAATATTATGATAATCTTTTTTTTTAAATGTAACTTAGTACAGTATAGTTATATAACATGAAAATAAAATTCAGAGATGTCTTCGGTAAAGTTGTTATTAGCTTAATTATTCTAGTCATTTCATATAGAAGCTTGATAGTTATATACTCCTCCGGTCCTTATTATAAGACCCCATTTGACTTTTTATTTGGTCCTAATTATAAGACCCTAATCCATTTTGTCTATTATATTTATGCATTTTTTTCCAAGATAATCCTTCTAATAATGATAGTTTTAGCCAATATACTTAATTAGCAAAGATATTTTAGGAATGACAACACTTATTTATTATAAATAACCAACTTAACTTACTTCCTTAATCTCCTCAAATAAGTCAATTGGGTCTTATAATTAGGACCGGAGGAGTAATTTATAATTTATTTTGTTTTTTTATAAGATATTTTGTACTCTTCCGGTTCTTAATAAGACTTAATTAACTAATTTAAGTAGATAAATGATGCTAGTTAAATTAGTTAATATGACATGTTTTTTTCTACACCATCCTTAGTGTTTTTCTCAATTCTTTCATTTACTCTCCTACTTGATTATTGTTAAGAGAATATCAATGAGATTAATTTTAAAAAAATTAATAAATATATAAAATAAATCTTACATGTAAAATAATACTCTTCCGGTCCTAAATATAAAACCCTTTTACACACTAATATAAGAGTCTTATATTTAGGACCGGAGGAGTATCAACTTACTATTTAGATTCTGCGTTAAGTACCCAAGGAATGTGATGCTAGGAAGAAGTTTTTTTTTTTTTATACAAAGGAAGAAGTTTTAATGCGTCAATGGTTGTCAGTTTTGTTTTTTAAGTAGAAATGGTTGTCAGGTTTTTTGGACCGAATGATAGTAGATTATTTGGTCGGAGAAAAAAGGATAGTAGAGTCAAGACCACATTAACTATTCAGTCCAAAAAATAAAAGTCCACATTAACTAAACTTGACCGAAATTCTATAACGACCAGTGAGGAGAGAGTTTTTTTTATCCTCGTAAGAAGCAGTAAAATCAATTATTAAACAGTGCCTTTAAACTTATCTGGCATTTTTGTAAATTTCAAATACTCATTTAAATTTTCAATATTTCAGGAGAATTTAATTGGGAAAATTCTAAAAAAATAATTGTTGAAATCAATATTGGATAATACACTCGTAAAAAAAATAACTACACTCGAAAACAAATAACAACACATTTTTATAGTAATTTTTTATTTAAAATTTTAAAATTTACTAGTCATTTTTAGAGATTTTCCTAATTTAATTCTCTTTTTCTCAAAATTATTTATATTTTTGCAATAGATTTTATAGCCATGTAGATCCAAAGGCCAGAGTCCCCACCACCCCATGCACATCTGCAGGTCTGCAACAACTCTTCCAATTTCGGCTTCAAGTGCTCAACCCCCCAAACTACGTTTTATTAATTCTATATTTAATACTCCTCCGGTCTTAATTATAAGACCCAATTGATTTATTTGAGGAGATTAAGAAAGTAAGTTAAGTTGGTTATTTATAATAAATAAGTGTTGTCATTCCTAAAATATCCTTGCTAATTAAGTATATTGGCTAAAACTATCATTATTAGAAGAATTATCTTGGAAAAAAATGCATAAATATAAGAGACAAAATGGATTGGGTCTTATAATTAGGACCAAATAAAAAGTCAAATTGGGTCTTATAATAAGGACCGGAGGAGTATAAAAGTTAGTTAACTAATTTAAATAAATTAAAAAATTAGTTAAATCAGTTATTTATAATAAATGTGTGGTCTTCTCTAAAATATCCTTACGAATCAAATGAATTAATTAGAACTACTATTACTACAAGAACTAACTAAGAAAAAATAGATAAATATAAGAGATAAAATATATTTTTTATATTTAAGATCAAAATAAAAATCAAACTAACTCTTATATTTAGAACCGAAAAATAGTAGTAATTTTGATTTTATATTCTAAATAAATTCTAATAAGTAATAATAATAACTATTTTCTGTTCTGATAAATTCTAGTATTATATTTAGGCCAAAAATATATTTTAAAATTGGACCAGCCATGAGGCCATGAGAAGGCAATGACAATGCCCGAATGCAGCAAGCATTTAAACTCTTGCCCTTATTTCTTCTAATTTCCTTTTTTGCCGTTATATTTCTTATACTTTTTTCTTTATTAAAAAATTCTTGCTGCAGAAGACACCGTACCCACAAAAAAGAAAGTACCCAAAATGACAAAAGACAAAGTACAAACCAACCTGCAATGGGAACGGCAATGATATCTCCCGGTTCGACGGTGGCGTGACCCAATCCATTGATAGCTTCCAAATCCGACACTGTCGTTTTGGAACCCGACGCTATGCTCCTTAAGCTCTCTCCCTCTCTCACCACATACGACATATAGACTGTCGTTTCGCCGTTCCTCACGTTACTCAAGCACGTGCACGGCAACGGTATCACCAACCTCCCTCCGTTCGTTAAACGATTCGTCGCATTGATGCTGTTCACCGTCGCTAACTGGTCCGCGCTCACCAGCCCGCCGAATCCCTCCGATATGGTCTCCAGTGTGTCCGATGCTTGCACCGTGTAGTTCGTGGACATAGATCTTCGGATTCCGTCTACGCAAGGGCACGACGTGGGGATCTTCACGACGGATTTGGATCTGATGATCTGATCGGAGAGTTTCTGTGATATCGGGAAGATGGAATTAGCCGCGAGGACGTCGGAGACATTGACCTGGAAGCGCGAGGCGATTTCAGAGAGCTTGGAGTCCCAGGGAACGACGAAGGAGAGAAGAGAAAAGCAGGAGTCTGAGGAAGAGCAGGGTTCGATGATGGATTTTGTTTGAACGAGGCAGATAATGCTGAAGAGCGCAAGTCCCAAGAGAAACTGGATATGGCTCCTCATGTTTGTTTATTTGGCGAGAATGTGGAGGAAAAAAGAGATCACGGTGAGTGTTTGATGATTGTTCTTATTTCCTGTGAGTAAATTTGAGGAAGACTGGGTAGGTAGATATGCACATGGATATGCTGGTGAATTTTTGGAAGCTTGTGTGCATAGAATGTTTCTGGTTTGAAGAGACGATGAGTGATGATATAGCATGCAAGAATGGGATTCTGGTAGTGAGTAATTGCTAGCAACCTACCAGTCATTTAAGATGAGATAGATTATAGAACCTGCATTTACGCAAAACAATTCGAGCTAGTCACATTACTAAGTTTACTGTTACTGGGGCATAAGAAACTGTGACTGTAGTTTATCAAGGACAGACAAAACCCACCTCTGGCAATCATAGACCAGACTGATTTTCAAGTTGGACATTCATAGATTTTCTCATTTGAAAATTTGATTTCAATGAAGGCTGATATATTAGCTTTGTATAGTTTTCATTTGATTCCTAGTTAGATTGGACAATGGTATGGTAAAATAGTATAGAATTGACTGATTTTGGGAATCGCCCAGATCAACCAAGGACAAAACCCCCCAGTTTAAAAGGGGGAAAAATGACAAAACCCTCCATTTTGGAAATCATGGACTAGACTGATTTTCAGTACGAATGAATAACTGGTTTTCAAGTTGAACATTCATCGATTTCCTCGGTTTAAAATTTTGATTTTTAGGCCTATATGCTAATGGTACTATTTTTGTCCGATACTTGGTGTTAGATATAGGTTAGATAATTACCTGTTTAGATAATAATCTGTCCAACTATTGTACATCCCAATTTTATTGAGAGATCATATAATATCTATTCTGCATTTTTTTTACATTTATAAACTTGAATGCAGAGAATGTATTTGAATGAAAAATCCGAAAAGGTAAATCATGAATGAGTGTGAGCATGTTATATGTAACTCCGCACAAATTTGCATTTTCTTGTGCTGCCCTTTCTTCAAATGCATTGATACATAATTAGGGAAAATCCAACTTACATAATAACATGATTCAATATGTGTGCGTGTCTTACTTTAATTGTAGTTAACAATTAAAAGTGTAAAGCATAGGATATTATTGAGATTCATGAATCATGACAGAAGGATTTAGTGAGAAATTATTTGCAATGACACACCTATGGAACTTTGTAATAATTCTCCCTATCATTTATAATTTTATAATTTTACAGAAATCTTTTCCAATAAAAAAAATTTGGTAAGCAAGGACAGGTGCAAAGGGGGGGCCTCTTAAAGAGAGGCAGAGGGTGACCAGACGGGGATATGGCCCCCCCCTTTCCCAAATAGACAATGCAGAAAATAGGGAAGAAGGCGAGATCTGAGATGAGTCGAAGATTTTGTTATTTTAAGGCTGAAAGGATAGAGAAGAAGAGAGGGATGAAGATGGACGGTGTAGAGAAAGAAGCATTCCAAACGAAAAGAAGATGCATTTCTTGTAACTTTATTGCATTTCAAGTAAATTTGGGTGAAAAGTCAGTTTAAAATCTTAAACATGCAAGGAGTAATTGGTATGATAAAAAATATATATATATATGTAATGAAACAACGTCATTTCCCAACTTTTAAAAACTATTATACGGCTAATCCCATGAAAAATATTATTTAAGTGAAAAAAATATCTCGTTAATTTGCCTCCCAAATCATAATGAGAGTAAGCATCTTATATGAACGCAACAATTAAGCATGTTCATTGTCAGTCACAGCAGAAAACAGAATGTTAACAGAGTCCGGAGCCAAATTGCTTCATTAAGTATTATAGTACTTTAGAATACCAATTCCACCTTATGAGATATTTTAATGGCAAAAATGCACTTTAACAATGCTTTTAAATATGCATAAATATCTCATTTACCAAAATTTTTTTCTTTGTTATATTTTTTTTTGCCAGAGTTTTTTTCCTTCAAAAAAAATTATAATGAGATCCAAAAAAAAATATTATAAAATAAGTCTAAAAAATTATCATTTCTTATCTTGAAATTTGTTATTACAGGTTGTTTAGATTATTATTTAGGTTTTTTAGTAATTATTTTTTCCCTGTTATAATATACTTTGCATTTTTCATTAAAACATCGACCAAGAAAATTTATTAAAAATAGTAACGATCCAGTTATTTTTTTTAATCAAAGTAAAATTACACACACTTTTGGGTAATTTCTAAAATATTTATTTTATATAATTGGAAGCATTATTTACTGTCAACGACCCTAATTGTGGACTCTTGACCAACGTCGGAGCTCGCCGTGCCTGTGAACTTCATCTCGTGCCACCGTGGACCTCATCGGGAAGCCTGAAGAGATAGGGGCTTTTCATTGAGAAAAAGAATCACCGCAATAGCATTGGCTTTGAAACCAAGGAATTGCAATCGGGGAACCTGGTGTCCTTCCTATGTTTCTGTGACCGTTCGACAAGATTAGAAGTTAAATTATCCTAATTCGGAGTCATTATCCTATTATAGCGGCAGGATGACGAATCCCAATCGCGAAAGGCCAAAACCGGAAATTTCAAACGCCAGTCATTTGGCGAAGCGGAGGATGTCTTCTCAAATGGAATCTTCTAGCACTCACATGAAGAAGCGGCGGTTGTTCCTGAAGTCGGAGCCTGTAACCCGAAACCCTAGGCCTAATCGGAGCTTGCACACTTCGAATCAATTCAAAGCCTTCCGTTCTTCCTCTCGAGGTCGTAGAAAGAAAATGGCAAGAAAATCCAATAACGAGGTGTCTTCTCGGAGATGGGTTTTTTCTTCCGAAGATCATTTTAACAATAAGGGTAAGGAATCGACAGATAGCTTTTTGGAAGAAAAAATTGGAGGATAAGTGCGTGAATTCTGATTTCCTCTTAAACGTTGCCTCTGGATTTATGTTCACGTACTGCGTTGAAAGTGAAGAGGGAAAAGGGAGAGTTAGTGCTGTGTGATTGACATTTTAAGATAAACACTAGAGGATGCGTGGCAATATATTGATGAGATTGTATCGGGTAGTGGTACTATTTTATGTTGATCCGGTGATCTTTCTTCTCAACCCTTTCCTTTTCTTGCAGATAAGATTGTGGTTGTGTCATACAATATCCTCGGTGTTGAAAATGCGTTAAAGCATCCGGATTTGTATTCTAATATCCCACATCGTTTTTTGGAGTGGGACCGTCGGAAATTACTTATACGTGAGGAGGTTTATAACTACAATGCTGGCATAATATGTTTCCAGGTAGTTTATTATCAGCATCTGTTTTGCACGGCATGCTGTACATGTTAGAATTTCAACATCTCACTACCCGCAAGAAGCTTAGAAAAATTAAAAATGGAATTAACAGACATCAGCATAGTTGACTTTTCTTCCCTATTGTATCTATGAAGATCTATGTTATTGTTGATACATAATAGAATAGGATCGATTCTTGTTTATCAAAGACTGCATCCTGATGACCTTCTATATGGCTTCAGGAGGTTGATCGCTTTGATAACTTGGATAATCTTCTCCAAAATGATGGCTTTAAAGGTGTTTACAAGGTATTATACGGTAGTGTTTGTGTAAACATCAATTTTTTATGGTCCAAAATGAGTTTATTAGCTCACATGGATTAGCATTATTAATCATCAGGCTCGCACAGGGGAAGCATATGACGGGTGTGCTGTATTCTGGAAAGACAAATTGTGGGTTTCCATTACCCCTAAGTGATTAATGTTGCTAAGTTTTTGCTTATTCTACTAACTCGTCCTGTATATAACATTTCCTACCCTTTTTTTCTCTTTCTGGTAATTACCATTGCCTAATCTTTGCCAATGAATACTGGGCAGACAGGCAGTCTAAATATCCTTCTATATTTTAATGTGGGTGGAAATAAAAATGTACTAATTCTGGCACATAGTATATACGGGCATTCCTTCTCATGTTATTTGTGTATCATATTCTTCTTTGTTTGCTTCTCTATTGCTATTGTTTGCCCTCTCTGTCACTTTGCTAATTCAGGCTAGGCCATATTTTGAAAACAGATTTACCCTTTTGCATGAAGAAGACATAGAGTTCCAACAGTTTGGCCTTCGTAACAATGTTGCCCAGCTTTGCATTTTTGAGGTATTTAGGATTTGATTCATTATTAATTTTGGTTTCTCTTATCTCTGTTATGGGTTTGATCTGTTCTCTTATTGACACAATCTATGTGATCACATTATTACACTAATTTACCAATATTTCCCATAACTTAGTTTGCTGCTTCTAGTAACATAATTATGTCTAGCAGTCCTTAGTGCAAGTGGTGTGCTATTCTTGTCATATATCGGTTTGATGTTTTGCTCTAGTGCTGAGGTTTGTATGATGTGATATTTATAAAAGTGGTGTAGACTGCAGATGCGGAAATTTTATTGCCTCTTTTTACCAATTCTGCATTTGATTAATTGTGTGAAAATGGATTTAAAACTTAAGATCAGGCATTTCTGCTAAACTGGTCTACATTTGGTGACCATTTTCTCCCAGTTTTCCCCATAGCTTCATTCCACCATCTTGTTCCTGGTATTGCTTTTTTCCCTGCACTGTAGCCATGCTAATATGTTTTCTTGTCAGCTGTTCCTTTATGTAGCATGGTTAGTTTTCTTATTTTTATTATTTATCACTCTATATTTCCATCTATTGGGCAGGTGAACCATGATACGTTGGAATCTGATGTATGCAGCCCAACAGCATTGTGAGTTTTGCATCTCTTAAATCAGCTGCATAGTGAATCAATCATCAATTGTCTAATATGTCATTTCATATATGTATTGCTTGGTGTAATTTTATTTAGGTATCTTTTAGTGGTGATGATGAAGTGGCCCAAACCTTGGAAAGTGTTTACTATATGCTGCATCCTCATCTGGTTTTTTAAGTGGAAAATCTTGCCTTAACAATAACTTGCCCACATATACATGGACAGACATTGTATCTTTTGTAAATGAAAGAGCCTTGCTGAATCACTAATTCTTTGTGTATGTTCTCCTTGTTTCTTGAACTTCCATTTACATCTAGGACACCATTTACAAGAAATAGAAGATTTTTAGTAGGAAATATACATGTGCTGTTCAACCCAAATCGAGGAGACATCAAGCTGGGCCAGGTACTTGTCTGATTTTTGCAGCGGCTGGGGTTGCATTACACTTACATTTAACATCTAGGCATTTCGTTTGTGCTTGTGATTCTTTCTGTGTAAAAACCTTTTTCCCCTCGGTCGGGAGTGGTACTAATGATTTTTCCTTCAAATTGTGTCTGACTGTTTCCTTTGTTTTTAGAAGAGAATATTGGTAATTGCCTTTAGTTAATCAAATTTCCCATTTATTTTATTGATCCTGCTAATTTTCCATGGGACCTGATGATTTAGGTCAGACTTTTTGTTGATAAAGCTTACAAGCTATCCCAAGAATGGGACAACATTCCTGTTATTCTTGCTGGCGATTTAAATAGTGTTCCACAAGTAAGATTTTGTGTGTGTACTTTTTTGTTGAGAAACTTCAGATTTGAGGCTCTAGGCTATTACTTGATCGCTAATATTTCCTTGTTGCTATTGCTTGATTAGAGTGCGATATATGAATTCCTGGCTTCTTCCAAGGTGAATCCCAAATCTCCTCTCCGTGGTATATTTTCAAGAGTCTATGCAATAACTTCTTTAGTATTTTAACAGAAATTTGTTCATATGAATAGCTTCCAATTAAGCAATTCGTTCATCATACTTGCCAGGAAAAAAAATTCAGTAATCTGTTTTCTGTTGCCCCCTCCCCTTAGGGCAATCACATAAACACTCGCTGTATAGCCTCTTATTGAGTTTCAGCATACTGAAGCTACCGTCCCACTCGTTGCAGTTGGACATCCAATTGTATAATCGCAGGAATATGTCAGGACAGCTTGAAGCCTCGTCTAGCTGTAGAGTTTTCAGACCTGAAGTTGGTTATGAAGCCAGGTTGTTTTCAAATCCATATCAAGTCCTTTACTTTGAACAAATCTGTGATGCAAAGCAATCACACAGGGTTTGTGCTTAGTAGTAAGGTTTGGGGTCATTATCTGTGGCTCATGTGTGTGTGTTTTATGTATTCTGTAATTAATTATCTGGTTGTGCATCTGGTGCAGCATTTCAATGTCTGTTCGGAGGCAACTGGGATATAGATGGAGTAAGGAAGAATTAGGACTTGCAACTGGTGCAGCAGGAGTCACTCATCTACGGAGTCATCTAAAGCTCCAAAGTGCATATGCCGGTGTTCCTGTATGGTGTTTTGATCTGCTAATTACATTTCTCCTCTTGGCAAATTTTGCACGGCACTTAGTTGTCTGGGCTGCATTTCCATTTCAGCCCATACTGGCTGTTCTTGTATAAATCCTATGTACTTACTGCTGACAGGGAAACAATAAAACAAGGGATGACACTGGGGAACCGTTGGCAACATCGTACCACTCCAAGTTCATGGGAACTGTTGATTATATCTGGTTGTTCTTTAGTTTACTAATTTGCACTCAAATTGTTTGCCTTCATGAATCGTGGTTAATGATGTCATTTATTAACAGGCATACAAAGGAATTTGTCCCAGTCAGAGTTCTTGAAACCTTGCCCATTGATATTTTAAGAAGAACCAAAGGACTTCCCAGTGAGGTACCACTCTTAAAGCCAAGCCTTGTATCCATATTGGATTCTTAGTGTATTCATGACTATTTTTGGTTCTGCAGAAATGGGGAAGTGACCATCTTGCTCTTGTATGTGAGTTTGCTTTCGCAAGCAACGAAGATCGATCCCAATTTGCTTGAGTAAGATATTCCAATATTGTGCTGGATGTACAAACTTTTGAGGTGATCGACAAGATGCCAGCATCGAGGAACTCAGAGAACTGTTGTCACCAATGATCACTTTAAAACCAATGATCAATGCTCAGTTTCTTACCCTTCCTGGTCCTCTTAATCTCTCTCTCTGCTCATTGCTAGCACTGCAAAGGCCCATCATGAGCATAAATTTATCGTTGCCGAGGATGTACAAACTCCCTTAAAAGTATGCTGCGTGAAAGTCCTTTTGAAACTCATTGAACAAAATCGGCACAAGTGAATGCTTCAGATATCCGCTTTTGCCGAGAAGCATTAGTATATCTCGAGGTATTACAAAGGCTCAGAGGCACTGAAGCCGTTATACATTCCAGTTCCTTGTAACATGCGGAAACAACTTTGATTCTTTGAAGTTGTATAAGCTTATCCCATTTGATTAGAGAAGTTAGTCTCATATGGTGCGGTACTTTTATGTGTTCATGTAATAGCATTCTCTTAAAGTTGTATCAGACCATAAAGATGTTGCCTACTGTATGATAGGACGGAATTCTTGCCAATTTCTTATCAGCGAGTGACGCTATTTACAAAAAGGGAATTGAGAAGTTAATGAGAAGGGAAAAGCTTTCTTTTGTAGATAGAGGATTTTTTTGGGGAAAAAAGTCAGTATACTAATTTCTAAACACAATAAAAATGGTTTTCTTCGCATTTAACTGTTTTTCACATGCCAAACATAGCCTTAAAGTAAAACAGCAGTTGCCCATACGCTCTTATGATCCACCAAGCACAAACAATTTAAAAAAAAAAAAAAAAGAGTAAACGTATTTGTATTCGATTTCACGATATGTACGGTATTGGCATTAATACACGCATCGTGCGTATCACATAGTCCATTGTTTGTAACTTTGTATTATTATATTTTTTGTCAAAATATTTTGATGACTTCAAATTTAAAAGAAAAACTTTAATAACAGTAATAATTAGAATAAGTAGGAACATAAGAAGTAAATATGATACAATGGCCGAAGACTATATGGTCTAGTGGCACTCCATATGCCACCAGTGGCATCAGATTTGATGTTTAATTACTAGTTACTCTTTTTAATCCTTATTATAAGTTTTAAATAACTAATTTATGAATAACAAATAATTAGTTAAAATAATAAATATATTTGAAATATAGTTTGTTTTCAAATAAACCCCTAAAATAAATAAGAAAAAGGATGGGAAAAAATGTATTAAGAAATGTGATGAAAAAGAAATAATTAAAAATAACATTAGAAAAAATACATTAAATATTAAGACAAAGTAAAATTAAAACTTATAAAATAGACCATATATTTTTTCAATTTTAAAACTTATAAATAAGATCTGAGAGGATATTAATCAGGCATGCATTGCATGCCGTTCAAATTCCCAAAAAAAAAAAAAGTCTTAATGAAGGCATTCTTTTTCCCGCCTTCACAAAAATGAAGTGGATATTTTATAAAGAAGGCATTCGTGTTCCCCCCGTCACAAAAGCGAATCTTAACCTCTGGGACAAAAACTAATCTCAACGTCAGGTAACTGTTTACGAAAACATTTTTCTCGCCATGCCTGCATGATCCCTTTCTGTAGAGCCAACTCAAAGCAAAAGAAGACAGTTTGGAAAAGTGAAGTGAAAAAATAATAATAATAATGACAAGAAGCAAGCAGAGAGCAATAGAACAGTAGGCATCCTTCTCGATCTAATGGAGTCCGGCAACATATATACAATTTGTCTGCAAATTAAAAAAAAAAACAAACATTTTCATCTCATAACATTTAATTCTGCAAAACATAGCTCATTCATTCCCAAGGCCATTCATCATCATTGAGAGCTTCATCAATCCAATCTAACTCTACATTATCACTAGAATCACTCCCAGCAGACTGAACACCTGTTCTCCCTTCACCCTCTTCTTCTTCTGCTTCCTCCTTATTATCATCGCAGATCAAACCTCCATTAGCACCATCATCATCATTATTATCATTAACGTCCAAATTATTGTCAGATTCACCACCAAACACCATTCCTCTAACCTCCAGTAATGGCACAATTGGCTCCTCTAACAAGTGCTGAATGTACCCTTCTTCTTCATAATACTGTTCTACATTCACAGAACCATCACTCTCATCACTACCCATTGAATTATTATTATTATTATTATTAGAAGTGACGTCAAGCACAGATGATGGAGATGGACGGGACAGCAAGCTTTCAAATTCCTTCCTCTTCTCCTCATAAGCCAAAGAAGCTTCTTCCACAGTATTGTATGTTCCCAGCCACATTCGGACCCTTCGAAATGGGTCCCGGATCTCCGCAACGTATGTCCCCCATTTACGACGTCGCACCCCTCTCGGTAAGCCTGACGATTTCCGCTTCCTCCGGCTGGTGCTGGTGGCAGAACTGGGACCCGCTTTCAGGTTTCCTCCGCATGATCTGATAGGAACAAGAATCTCCTTCACGAATCGCTTGCAGCCATTGATCATCACAGATTCACCCTCTTCTTCGCTTGAACAATCCGTAGCATATGGGTCTGTGAATGTGATTCGAACTCTTCTCATAAAGTTCGACTTCTTTGCTCTTTCTCGTTGGGGCTTTAGAACTTTTCTGGGCGAGCCTGTCATTTTGAGCTAAACCCAGAATCCAAAACAAAAGTAAAGAGAAAGAAAATCTAAGCACGCAGAACAATGGAGGAAAAAGGAAGAAGATCAGAAGAGACAGTTTTCTGATGAGTATCAAAAGAAACCCAAAACTCTACAGAGAATTATGGGTGGTGATATTTTGTGATGTGAAACCCAGAAACATCCGAAACCATCAATGGAGGCCCTGCATGAGGAACGAAATGAATGACATATTTCAGGGCGAGAGCGGAAGGTGATAAAAAGAAGAACCTTGAACTCTTCAAAAACCAATGATAATAATGTGGACGATGATGTCCCTCTCAGTAATAATAAATCATAGTAAAAAGGTGAGTGCATGTACCGTTTAGGTGTGAGTGTGATGATAAACGTTGGAGAGAACGGTTTCCTTTGGCCGCATTTCAGAATGTCAGAATGTCAACGAACAGCGACGAACGAGGGCAGGGCTGCTTTGAGACTGCCCCAGTAGGTACCCAGCTCACACTCTATATTTGCCGCGTAACTCGCCTTTCTCGAGAAACTCAAAGAAAATACATGGAAAGTAGAAATTGTCATAAATTATTTCAATGCAAATAAAAAAAAAACCGAAAGATAAAGGAAACCATGAAACATTTTTTATGAAATAACAATAATAGCAACCAAGAGAGGTTATATTTATATTTTTTGGCCTCAGCTTCTCATATGTTTTAAACTTCCAGAGAAAAATGTGCAAGATCAACCGAAAAATTTTATTAAGAAGAGAATGTTTGTATGAATAGAATTATCTATCTATTTATATCTGTGTAATATAAAAACTCTAACATTCTTATCAAGAAGCAAGTTAAATGTTTAAAGCATATCTCACTAACCTTAAATTTTAAACCAATCTTATAAGTCAAGTTCTTATTAATATTGAACGAATTTAATTGTCATGACGTGTTTTTGTATATATTTAATTAATTGTATATATTGAATGATGATGCTTATTAGTTATTAGGTCATTCTTTCTAATTCTTAATCAAACAGAACTTATTTATAATTTTTTATAATTTAATTTATTATATATAATATAAGAACTCTAACCTTCTTGTCATAAAGTAAGTTAAATTTTAATTTATATCCCACTAATACGGGATTTTAAACTTACGAGTATAAGTCGAGTTCTTATCAATTGAACGAATTTATTTCTCATGACATGGCATTGTATACAGAGTCAATCAAGTGTGTCTATTAAATGATGACACACTTCTTAATTATTAGGTCATGTTATTTAATTCTTAAGTGAAAATAAAACTTATTTATAATTTTTATAATTAAAATTTTCACACATATATATTTAAAAACCCTAACGTTCTTATCATAAAGCGAGGTAAATTTCCATGTAGACCTCACTAACATTGGATTTTAAGCCAATCTTAAGAGTGTAAGTCAAGTCTTTATTAACTTAGTGAATTTTATCCGTCATGATGTGACTCTGTATATAGATTTAATTAAGTGTGTATCAAACTATGACACTTTTTAGTTATTAAGTTTTTTTCGTTTGATTCTTAAATAAAAATAAAAATTATTCATAATTTTTCATAACTAAATCTTTTATACTTTCTCACTGGACAAATGATTAAATTATTACTGCAATCATGTTCTATTCATTTTTAAAATTGTGTTTTTATAATGAGTAAAACGTATTAAAAGTTAAAAATATATCTAATAATTACAATGACTGAGAAAATTTTAAGCTATTAAGAAAAATATATCTACTTTCTAAAAAACTATATTCTTAGGCTTGAGTATAGTCACATACTTAAGAAATATATATCGACAAAATTCTTCAAAATATTTATTAAAATTCTCAACAAAAATCAAGATAGAATGATTTTGCAGGGATATATGGTTGCAAATTTAGGATGGAAAACTTCTAGGCCCTGTTGTGAGATGCATGAACACACACTTACTTTTAATTAAGTCACTAATAACTACAAAAAGTTCATCACTTTTAATATTTATAAATCCGGTATTATGGTTGTTCTCAATTATCTCTTTCACGGTCCATTTATTTATTTATTTTAACGTGGCCAATATTTTTCATTTGATTTGACATACACAGCTTCTGTCCCTTAAAACATAGCTAATAAACCTTCCTCGGAATATGACTAATAAAAATGATAGAAATATGAAATTGGATGTTTTTCCAAAATAACCCCCAACCATTAAGGAAACACAGTGCATAATATTCAATTTTTAATTAATTTTTGCTCTTCATCATCACACATCACCAAACATCTTGCTTTCATGGCATATACAGCTAATTGAATAATAATTTTAAAAAATCTTAATTGTTCTTATATATAAATATATAAATTTAAGAACTTTTAACTGTTTTTTTCTTTTTTTAAAAGTATTCAACTTAAATATAATGTGCTGTTACTTTTAACTCAAACTTTTTGTGACCTCGAAGTAAAATTAGCGTGTGTGTGTGTGTTATATAACGACGAAATTAAGATCTCAACACTTTTTTTTTAATATCAAAATCCCAATATTGTCATTCAATATAATGAAATAACAGTGAAGAGTAGTCAATGAACTCGAGAGGGGACCTTTTTTGCCTTCCTGGAAAAGGAAAAGAATCCAATAAAATAATTAAAAGACAGAGAAATGCTGGCAAAAAAAAAGACAGAGAAATAAATGTGAGAGAAAAAGGAGGCAAGTAACTAAAGAGAGAATGTGGTAAAATGTTCTCTTATTCGGTGACTAATATTTCAAAATAAAAATATCATTATATTTTTTCCATGAGAAAATATTTGTATGTTATGAGTGCTATACTTTTAAAAAATATTGCTCCCTATTAGTATTTTATTATAAAAATCTATTAACAACTATACATTAGATTAATAAATTCAACTAAAAATCTATTAAAAGGCTAGCTATTTAGTTAAAAAAATCAAATAAAAGACATTCAGACGAGAAAATAAAAAATAAAAAAGTTGTGGACGGCTGAAGAAAGCCTTCAAGCCAACGGACTTGTAAGTAGGGGGCGGCAAGTTTGATATTAAAGCTTGTTTAATTTTTACTTTGATTTTAATTATAAGATTCTAATTTATTTTGTCTCTCATATTTATTCATTTTTTTTTAAAATAGGCCTTGTAATAATGATAGTTCTAGCTCATATATTTAATTAGCAAAGATATTTTAAGAAAGACAACGCATATTTATTACAAATAACTAACTTAATTAGTTTTATTAATATACTCAAATCAATCAACTAGCTCTTATATTATTGACTGGAGGTACTATTAGAATTAGTTAACTAATTTGAGTATATTAAGAGAATTTGTTAAGTTAATTATTTGTAATAAATATATGTTATTTTTCCTAGAATATCATTGCTAATCATATATATTAGCTAGAGGTACTATTTAATTGAACTCTTAACATGTGGAACTACTATTTTAGAAAAAATAGATAAATATGAGAAACAAAATAGATTGTGATCTTAGATTTATGATCAAATTGAAAGTTAAACAAACTCTTATATTAATAGGCGAAGTAGTACTACTATCACTTAATCTCATATTATTAATACTTGCTACTTTATTTAAAAACAAAAGAAAGAAAAATGTCTTTTGACAACACCACAATGAAGAAATATACTGCCTACACAAATTTCCTTTGTTCCATATGTTTCAAGACAACCTGTGACGAGGGCTCAGGATTTGTGTGCGCACACTTCCCTCGTTAGCTTTTTGTTTATTATTATTTCCAGTTTTAAATATAAGTTATTTTTCCGAAAAAAGAAAGGTCTTAGGCTCAAAATATAAGTGATATCTATATCATTAAATGCATATTATTGGCAAATATCATTAATTAACATTAAATGCTTTTTAATTAATAAGTAAAAGGTTAAAACATACTTTTAATTCTTTTCATTTTATATAAGATTTCAGTTCCTTAATTTTAAAAACTATATTTTTTTGTCCTTCAACCCTAAAACTGTCAACAAAAAATGATGGTATTAAAATTATAAATGTTAATACAATATTATTACATGCTAGCATGTCAAATTTAATTATTAAAATAATCATAATTATTACAACAAAAATCACTGTTTAAGGCTAATAATCTTAAAAGGACTAGAATATATTTTTTAAAAAATTAAAGGGTCAAACCAAAACCCCGCATAGAATTAGTGTGCTATCAAACTAAAACTTTACATAAAACTGAAGAACTAAAAATATACTTCAACCTAAGAAGAAATAAACATTAATGATCAAGAGCATACTTGAAAGAAAATACTCATCCGGTCCTTAATATAGAATCTAATTGTTGAGTTAATTTTGATCCTAAATATAAAACTTATTTTTTATATTTATTAATTTTTTCTAAATTACCCCTATAGATACTTCCTCAACCATAATCAAATAGAAGAGGAAGAGAGGATATTAAGGAAGGTGATTATGGTGTTTTAAGAAAAATATATCATATTTTTTTATAATTAACTAACTTACCTAACTTTCTTAATCTAATCAAATTAGTTAAATAGGTCTTATATTAAGGATTTGAGGAATATATCAATTTAGAACAATTTGATGAGAAAAACTAACTTCAAATAATTTTTATATTTTGTGATATTTATTGTGTCAAGTTTTTCAATCACATATAATCATGTGTCCTATTTTTGCGAAGTCAATTAGGATTTTTTTTTTGTTAATACATTTCAAGTAATTTTTTCCTATTCACAAGAATCTGAACTCGAGATCTTGATTAAGAATAATTATATTTTTTTCTACTCATCCCAGCTAGAGCCGGGAATCAGGGCCGGCCCTCCAGGGCTGAAATTTTAAAAATACCCTAATTTGCTAGGCCCGGCCCTTAAACTACAGGGTCAGGGCCGGCCCGCGGGCTTTTGGCCCGTTTAAGAAAAAATATTATTTTTTATATTTATCATATTTTTTTATAAAAATATAAAAATAAACCAATAAAATTATTAATAAAAGACATAAATATGAATA